TCTAGTGCATACACACACACACACACACGAAAGTGTGTGAGCACAGTGACGTGATTTCAATTGACCACTTGAACCTACAATGGAAGGAGAAAATCCAACTTCTCACAAGTTGTTCTGTGACCTCCATGTGTACCATAAGCACAAGTACACCTTTCTCACACACACACACATGCACACACACATGCACATACTATATTACATACCACATATCATATCACATACACTCACACACATGCACATGGGCACACACACACACATCCCATACACACACACACTATACTGCATCATATACCCCATACACATACGACACATACCATATCACATATACACACATCTCATATATACACACCACATACCATGTCACACACATGTACACACATACGCATACCACATACCACGTCACACACATGCACACACATACACACACCACATGCCACGTCACACACTTGCACACACATTCACACACCACATACTACGTCACACACATGTACACACATACACACACCACATACCACGTCACACACATGCACACACACAAGCACATGCATGTGCATACATGCACACACACATGCACACACGCACACTCAGGAGTGCCTGTGCTCCACAGGGACTCACGGTAACAAAGGCAGAAATGGTCCTGCACCGCTCTCCTGAGCAGCTGGGCTTCTCCAGAGCAGGCTGCCCCATTTTCCAGACATAGTGGCTTCTCTTCAGGCAGGCCTTCCCCCTGGCCTGCAAACACAGAACAAGCATGTGTCAGATCAAGCATTCTTTCTGCCCTGTCCCCTCATCTGTATCTCTCATACTGAGAGGAAAAGGAGGGAAAAGGGGACAATCATAAACCAATGCTTTATGTAAAGGAATAAAGAGGGCATTTTTGTTTGTCTGTTTATCTAAGGGTGGAAGCCAGGGCTACGCACATGCTAGGTAACCACGCTACTGACTCAGCTGTATCCCTCAGCCACAAGATCAGAGGTTTGTTTGTTGTTTGAAGATTTATTTTCATGTGCGTGCATGTGTGTGTGTGTGTGCATGCGTGTGTGTGTGTGATGTGAGTGAGCTGTATATGTATATGCCACACATACCGTGTATGTGTGTGTGGGGAGTGCCCTTGGAGACTGGAGAGGACATCAGATTCCTTGGTACTGGAGTTACCAGAGTTCTTAGCTACCTGATGTGGGTGCTAGCAGCCAAACTCCGGTCCTCTGTAGACACAGCAAGCCCTTAACCACTGGCTATCCCTCCAGCCCTGAGAGAATAGCAGGATTATATGATGAACAGGGTCAAGTGTGGTGATCAACCCTGAAATAGTGCTACAGCTACCAATATACCAGGGTGAGCATTCACACTTGTGACCCCAGTGCTTGTTAGGCAGGAGGATCTCTGTGAGTTTGAGACCAGCCTGGTCTACAGAGTGAGTTCTAGGACAGCCAGGGCTACACAGAGAAACCCTGTCCCCCCAAACAAACAAACAAACAAATAAACAACAAACAAACCCCCAAGCCAAACAGAAACCTTTAAGAAAAAAGTGCCATGAGTGTCAGGAATATTGAAGCCTTGGTCCCTGTGGTGGCACTGATCTGTGACACTGGATAAAGCTGTGAATGGGGTCTTCTTGGAGGAAGTAGGTCACTGGATGGCCTCTGAAGGTGACACTGGCTTCCATTCCGTTCCTGAGTCTCCACTTGCTTCCAGTCTGAGGCAAGCAGAGTGTCCTTCCCTCCCATGTGCTCCTGCCTCCCTGCCAGCTGTGAGCAGTGCACAGGCCCAGTGAAACCATGAGCCACACTTTTTAAGATTTACTATTTTTAACTGTGAGTAGGCATGAGTTTGTGTGTACGTGCGGTGTGTGCACATGGGAGTCTATGAAGTGAGTGCCCACAGAGGCCAGAGGTGTTGGATCTCTCTGGAGCTAGACCCGAGTCTCCCCACATTCCCAAGCCCTGTCGTCTCCCAGAACCCAAAACAAACTCCTCCTCCCTTAAGCTGTTAACATTAGGTACCGATAACAAAACTACTACAGCAATAGTTCAACACAGAAACCAGATCTCAGCCGGGCGGTGGTGGCGCACGTCGTTAATCCCAGCACTTGGGAGGCAGAGGCAAGCGGATTTCAGAGTTTGAGGCCAGCCTGGTCTACAAAGTGAGTTCCAGGACAGCCAGGGCTATACAGAGAAACCCTGTCTCAATAAAAAAAAAGAAAGAAAGAAAGAAAGAAAGAAAGAAAGGAAGGAAGGAAGGAAGGAAGGAAGGAAGAAAGAAAGAAAGAAAGAAAGAAAGAAAGAAAGAAAGAAAGAAAGAAAGAAAGAAAGA